TAATAAAGGGCAGGGAATAGTGTCGTACACAATAGATAGCATTTAGGCCCAGTTTCAGGTCTACCACTTATGTGAGAGTCATGAGGTGCAAAAAAGTACAGAAGTCCTGGTGCAATAGAGGAATTCTCCGCCTCTCTCACCCCCATTTGCTAAACTTGCACGTCCCAAATGTTCTCTCTTCTTTGCAACTTTGAAAGAAACAAAATCCTGGTGCTCATTAAATCTGGTCATCCTATGTTTGATAGAGACAATGTGTTAATTAAACAAGAAAATCCTTGAATACAACGAACAAAGCTGTCACTTCCAAAAAAATAAAAAGCAAGTACTGTAGCTGTATCCTTTGTTTAAATGGAATTAACAGAGCAATTCTATGCACTTTTATTCAGAAATGAACTCCATTGTGATCCTAAGTAAGTGGGCATATAACTACGCCTTAACTACTGTTGTAGTGAAGCTCAGGTGAAGATATGTTTCAAGGTGGCAGAAAGCAAGTCTGGAATGCAGCAGAGGGATTGCTCAGTTGTTCAGGATTGCTTCCAATGTCCTTGCCTTGATTTCCCCCCAAATGCCGAAGCCAGCTCTGATGCTAGGGTGCAGGGATGATTATTTCCCATTACTAATTGAGTCATTAGAGTGAATTAGAATCACTGTTACACTAAAAGAAGTGTAAAACTGTACAGTAAATATACATATACAGACAAAACATCCCAAGCTAATTTTTTTTCATCCGTGGTGAAAGATCTCTACTTCCTTTCGTAAACTATTGTTTCAGTAGATTATTTTAGGAATAATTAGGCTAGCAAGAATTTAGGAGAAAAGGGAAAAAGGAGGAAGAGGAGGAAGATCACAACAGATATTCAGATATTGAGATGCTTTATCCCTCTTTTGAATGAACTGGTTTTCCAATATCATTCTTGCTGTTTCCTTTTGGACAGAGAGATGTAACATTGCATTATAAAAGAGTACAGTGGGGTCTTGACTTGAAAACTTAATCCGTATTGGAAGGCGGTTCTCAAGTCAAAAAGTCTGTAGGTCAAGTCTCCATTGACTTACAGTGCATTGAAAACCGATTAATCCCGTAACAGGCCGTTTTTGTTCCATTTTGGCTTTTTTCTGGTCTGTAAGTCAATTCTTAGGCTGCAAGTCAAACCTAAATTTTGTGGCCAGAGAAGTCTGTAACTCAAAAAGTCTGTAAGTCAAGCCGTCTGTAAGTCAAGGGTCCACTGTAAAAGTCATATTATTTTTCTCTTTATAAATGCTCTCTGTAGATTCCTAAAAGTGCCCCACTCCCCCCCCAGAAAACTTTGGCAAGCTATATTTTTTAAATATCTGTGAAGATTCTCAGTCATCCAGGTGAGGTTATTTGGAAATGAAGTCATGGCAACTGGACTTCTTCCTTATTAGGTTATAACGTTTCACTGCTCATCCAAGTAGCTTCTTAGGTCTGAGGAGAGTCGGAAGGAGATCCCTAATATATCCTTCCCCCTGGTTTGAATAGGCTTGTTAGATGGACAAAGGATGGGGGATGAATGAAAATCCCACTTCTGCAGTCCTTCTCCACCCATTGTCATGGGTTGTTAATAGTCATTAACAGTAGTCTTTCTGGTGTGTGTGGTCCTGATCTTTCTGGGGATGGATGAAAGGGCAGCATGATAAATAGGGGACAGATTGTATCTAAAGCCTCCACCCCTGTTGAGTGAGGGATTTTCTATATGTACATGTATGGCTTCCCTGACCCCTCCCTCAAACCACCTTTCTTCTCGGTCCAAAATGAGTAAATTGTGGTCATCAAATTTTGTCCTTCAAACGGAGGAACACTGCTGACTGTGGTCCTGGGCCGTTGCCCCTCCTGTGCTGGATCATGCTCCTCTTTAGTGGCTGTTTGGTTTCTCCAGTGTAGAGCTCCGAACACTCCTCTTTGCATTGGACCACATTTACTATATCGCTCCTGTTGTGTTTTGTTGTCTAGTCTTTTGGGTGGACGAGTCTCTGCCTTAGTGTGTTTGTGGGTTTGAAGTGCACAGGTATGCGGTGTTTACCAAAAATCCCTTTGAGCTTTTCAGACACACCTGTATGCAAGGAATGAGCAGGTTTTTCCATCAGCTCTGGGTCCCAGACTGTTCCATTATCCTGCTGGGTCAAGGACATGGCCTTGTTAAAGGCCCATGTTGGATATCCACAGGCCTTAACATGTGTCTTCAGATGTCCATCTTCCTTCTTCTTGGCTCCTGTGGAGGCAGGGATGTTTCTTGCTCTGTGATTTAGCATCCTGATGGCCCCTAGTTTGTGTTGCAATGGCTGATGAGAGTCAAACCACGGGTATTGATTAGTGTGTGTAGGTTTTCTGTAGATTTCTATTCCATTGGGTCCTATGATGACTGCACAGTCCAGGAAAGCCAGCCGCTTGTCTTTGGTGTCTTCCCTAGTGACCCTGATATTTGGATCCACTGTGTTTATGTGGTCTGTGAAGGTGTGTACTTCCTGGATCTTGATCTTCAACCAGGTGCCGTCCACATACCTGAACCAGTGGGTCGGAGTCATCCCCTGGAAGGTCTTTAGAGCCTTCTTTGCCACTTCTTTCATGTGTAATTTGGCATTAATGGGCAACACCGGGGAACCCATGGCATAGCCATGTTTCTGTCTGTAAAAGTCACCTCTGTAGGTGAAGTGATGCTCAGACACAAGTCCAGGAGCAGGCATATGCGGTCCAGGTTGAGGCTGCTTTTGGTGGAGAGGGTGTTATTTTCTTCCGGTCTCCTTTTTACCATTGTTAGGGCATCAAGGGTGGGAACGCTGGTGAAGAGGGATGTGACATCAAAGGATACCATGGTTTCATCAGTATTTAGTTTCAGTTCCCTGATGCAAACTCCTCTGAGTTGTGAATGTGGTGGCCCGAGTGTCCAAACAATGGTGCTCAGATGGTGGCCAGGTATTTAGCAATGTTTTATGTTACTGAGTTTATGCTGTTTACGATGGGTTTCCGGGGGGGACCTTCCTTGTGTATCTTGGGAAGTCCATAAAGGCAGGGGGGGAGCCTTCCCCAGGATACAACCGGTGGTCGGTCACCCTGTCGATGGCGTGGTCCTTTTCCAAGTGTTTCAAGCATTCTGTTACTTTCTTCCTGGAAATGTTGATGGGGTCCCTCTTCAGTTTCTCATATGTGTGTTGATCTTCCAAAAGTGAGCTTATTTTTCTGTGGCAATCCATACTCCTGAGGACGACAGTGCCTCTTCCTTTGTCTGCAGGCAGTATGGTGATGGTGTCATCCCTGCTGAGGGATGTCAGAACAGTTGTTTCCCGTCTGGTGAGTTTGGATGGTGGCAGTTGAGTGCTGGAAATTGCTGTATAAACTTTTATCCGGAGTTGTTCAGCTTCTGACACTGGTAGATTGTTGTTCCAGGTAGCCAATTCTGTGGTTATAATGAAGTCCACAACCGAAAACTGTTTGGGTGTGATGCCCAAATTTAGGCCTTTGGCTAAGCCCCCCCCCCCCCGACCGAGTGAGTTCCCTGTCTGAGGGATTCTTCACCCATTTGTCCTTTGTGGCCTCCGCTGTGGTCCCTTCATCATCCTCTTGTTGAGTTCCCCTGCTGACTGTTTTCAGAAGACAGGAGTATCAGATTTCTTGATTTGCCTCTCTTTGCCTTTGAAGTGCTGGGCCAGTTGTGTTTTGCAGACGAAATCTCGGACTGCATCCAGCGTCGGTTTGGGTAGTGTGGAAAGTAGTTCTCGGTGAAGGCGGTCTACTCTGTGTTTCAAAGTGTCTATGATGGAGTGGACCTGTCTGACCCTTTCATTAGGCAGCTGTTCTTGTGCTTTCTGAAGAATCTTGTTGTCTCCCCCCCCCCCCCCGTTGGCTTCTTACAGTAGAATACAGTACAGGCATAGACTTGTCAGGGCGACGTTCTGTTGTCTGCATCTCAGGATGATGCACAAGTGGTTCCTGTAGCCTGCCACTTTTCTTGCTCTCCTTTCGTGTTCTCACACCAACTTCAGAGTATCTGCCCCAAAATGTGTAACAATATATTTCCAGATAAACACCTGTACTTTTAAGAGCAACTGTCATACTGGTAAAAAAAAACAACTATATGCAGATTCACAAGTTTAATTGGGAAAGGTTTAATTTTTAAAGTTTACTTTTATAGATCTTTTAGTTCATATTTTGGTCCCTGATACATATTTGTTGTTTCAGGTAGGCAGGAATAGGATTTTTTTTTAATTTTACAGCTACAAAAACATATGACATCTCAGTGGTGCTTGAAAGAAAGGCTTTAGTCTGTAAATTTTTAGCTTCTGAGAGCTAGAAAAATGTGAGAAAGGTGATGGAGATTACACAGGATCAGACGCAAAGAAAGGGAAGGCTGCAGAAAATATATGGGAAGAATAAGCAGCGTGTACAGTGGTGCAATCACTACATTCTATTGGCAGCATGGAGGGTTAGATCCCAAGGTTGCCTTCTACAGATAGGTCTGTCCTGGGTATAGAAAGGCTTTGTCAACAGCACAAGATCCTTGTGTGCAAAAAGATTACTAAAAATTCAGAGAAAGGCTTCTCTTGGCTCAAGGCATTGCCTCATCTCCTGCCCTGGGTTTTAAGATGCCTGCTGCTCATACAAGGACTTGTCCAGCATTGCATAAGCTCCTCCACTAGCTATTAATGGAACAACATTACTGCCAGAATTTCTTCTGCATTTTTGGAGCAAAAGCTCTGTGTGTATGTGTATGTGTCTCAGGATGTACTGAACTCCAGAAAATGAGATTGAATCTATATTATCCATTGTTAGGCTAATTCAACTAAATATTAACCTGCAAGCATCTAACTATGTAGCCCAGGACTACACAGAAGGCTTACAGGAATGTATGTCCTCTCTTAAAATTTGCCATTAGACGTTATCTCCTAAAACAAATAGCAGCGTTAGAAATAGAGATGGGGGAGGGAGCCCATTGCAGCAGAAAGGCTTGCCTTTCACACACTGTGATCCCAGTCCTGGTCTGCCAGGAAAATGCCTTCTAGAAGCCCTTTTAGAGGGAGGAGGGACACAAAGGAAGAGGTGCAGAGAGACCTTTCATTTTACAGAGCAGGTTAGAACAGGGATGGGAAGGTTGTCTGATTGTAACTCATTGGATCCCTCATTGCTGGTTGAGCTGTCTCGTTTTATCTAATGGCTGAAACCCAGTATTAAGTTGCAAGTAGAGTAGGCCCATCGAATCAGTGGAACGTACAGAGCAATTAACTCACCAAGTCCCCATGGATTCAGTAGGCCTACTTTAGTTGCAACGTACTACTGGCTTAGAGCAGTAGCAAGATGCTAGCAATGTGACTGATTGCTTAATTAAGCAAATAAATAGGATGTGTCTGGAACATACAGTAGGATGATATAGATATATAGGCATTATTTACACCTCAAAGAGCAGTAAATATGTTTGTGGCTCTGTTTTTCATTCTAGGAAGGCTTCCAACTCTTAGCCGCACTGAAGAACAGAGGTTCTGCCCTGTGTGCCGATAGAAGTCTGGTATGTTCAAACAAGAGATAATTATACAGCAATTTAAATGCACGGGCAGACAAAGAGAAACAGATGCAAAATAATGTACTCTTCAAAGCATTGTTAAAGTGACTGGGGATATCTATTATGGAAACGCATCCCCAAACAGACACAGTGTATCTAAACCTTGCTTTAAGAGCTAAAGTCCTAAAGCTATTTGATGGCATAAAAATACAGAAACGGACTTCAGTAAGATCAACAAGGGTGGAACCTTAAGGCACAAGGAGGGGAAAAATCCCCCACCAAGAGATCCACATGGGGAAGTGATCAGGGGCTGAACTCGGGGTGTTGGGTTTGAAAAGGAATTTGCTGCATTGCTTGGTTCCTTCTTCAGAGCCAGGCTGCTGTTTTCACTGTCATTCCCTCATATAGGTTCTGTACTCTGGAGTGTAAGAGCTTGTTAACACCTTGAATCTTTGGTACCAGGTGGCCAAAAAACTTCAGGGGAAATACTCTGTAGTTCCCTCTCATGGCCAATTCTGATATTTCACCTTGCAGATGTCTATCAGAACATGGTGGACAAAACCAAAGAACACTTTCGCTGCCACTTAGGATGAATAAGAGAATGTCAGACAACCTGAAAAGTCTTCTAATGTTGTCATTACTTTTTACAATTTTTACAAATTTGTTGTTGCTCATGATATCGCTCGTTACCCCCTAAAGGAATTAATTACTGTGAACTGTTATTCATTCATTCATTCATTCATTCATTCATTCATTCGTTCGTTCGTTCATTCGTTCATTCGTTTGTTTGTTTGTTTGTTTGTTTGTTTGTTTGCTTGCTTGCTTGCTTGCTTGCTTGCTTGCTTGCTTGCTTGCTTACTTACTTACTTACTTACTTAATGTATTTATACCCCGCCTATCTGGGTGATGCATTGGTAGTAGGCGAAACAGGAGCAATTAGTGGGCAGGATTAAAATTAAAAGACATGCATACCTTCACCATTCATCTACATCCTCACATATATATCATACTCTGGTGGAGAAGGTTCTGTTATCAGCCTCATCTTCCCACAGTCTCTTTCCCACATTTTCCAGCTGACAGCAGGAAAAAGAACCTAGTGCCGCCGCCACCACCACCAAAGGGGGGACCTGGCCTTCTTTTCTTCTCCCTGCTTCTGGGGATGTGGTGGCAGGGCCAGGAAGAGGGACTTGCCTGGGATAGAGAAAAGCCTCAGTGTGCTGGATTCCATCTCTAGGCTGCCTCCAGAGCTGGGGTGAGGCTTTTTCACATCTCAAGAAGTCTATAAAACCAATGTAGGATGGATGTGGCCTCTACAGGTATTTAAAACTCCAATGCAACAAAAGTACACACATGCTCACAGTCTATTTAATGGAAATGGATCCCAATATGCCAAGAACCAAAGAACTGTGCAGGAGCCAACGCTTGAGTTCTGTGCAGGCGCCCAAGGATTTTGCAGGCCAGTAGGAGCTCATGGGCTTTTCTTGGCACTTTCAGTTCCAGCAAAGTTTAAGCTAAGGGGAAGCTGTAGCAAAGTAACACAAAATGTGCACCATCTTTGGTTCTCCAAGCTGCAATGAAGGCCGTATCTTTTTATCTCCCCGAGAGACATTGCTCCTCTCATGCTATAAAGTCCATTGGAAACTGAATGTTAAAAAAAACTTGTTTACATTTCCAGTGCAGGCAAAAAGGAGCAGGAGCAGGAAGAATACATTTCCAAGTCTTAGTTTCCAACACAGGTTTCTTCTTTGTAGGGTCTGTTCTAATGAACTGCACACCAAACAGGGCCTGCTGTTTTCCTTCTCAGGAATATAAGACATATCCTTATCCTAGGTCAGAATTCATCCTTCCAACAGGTTTTGTCTGAGTCACAGTGTCTGTCCAAGATTTCTCCAACAGAGACGGGTCTTTGCCATCAACTAAACAGGGAGAGATGGACAGTGTCCTTCGGACTGCAACACCCATAATCCCTCATTATTGCCTGTGGTGGCTATGGTGATAGAAACTGTAGGCCAAATCTACCTGGTGGTTCATGGTTACTCATCCCCATTTGAGCAGGAGGCTGAGTTTGAAGATTTGGATTTGAGACCTTCTGCATGCCAAGAATATATTCTTAGATGTGACCATTTTAATTTTTGGACTACAGCTCCCCAGAATTCCCCACACAGCTTGGAGCACTAGTCCGAAAACAAGTAAGCACACCTTTAGTGTTCCACCATCAAGCTATAACCTCTCTTATTGTAAACACGAAAAGAGGCAAAGTGAAAGCTGAAGGAGAAGTCCTTGAGGACTTCACAACACTGAAAGAAACCTGCTAAAAAGGCTCAGGTTTATGCACCATTGCTTTCAGGTTTCCTTCTAGGGAAATTCTGTTGTCGAGTGGTAGATCTCGAAGCACCACCACACTGGCTGGCCGCCACCCCAGAAGCATCTGTCATCGCTTTTCAATATGTCTTTCCCTCTTTCATCTGTCACTACCTCATTTGCTCATTTTCTTTTCACTGAAGCTTATTACCAGAGGGAGAAAGTGTTGTACAGTCATGAGAGAGCAGGAATGGGATTGAGAGGGAGAGTCTAGTGACTCTCTTGCTTAAGATTTGGAACTGACAGGACTCTTAAAATCTAATCAGACGCAGGTCTCCCTGGAGCCATGCCTTCCTCCCTTATAACACTTTAACCAGATAAGCTTGTTCCACAGAAAGTTCTGGATATGATGTTTAATCCAAGCTCTCTGAACAATCACTTGTGGCAGCCAGGAAATTAAAATGGATACTATCCTGTTCTCTTTAGTAAAAGAAAACCCTACTGAGGTAGAATAAGCATTTCTTTAAAGTGGTCAAAGGCCTAAGTGATACATGTGGGTGCAAGAGTTGACTAGAAAAGAGAAAAAGGAGTAGCCATTTGTATGCCAGCAAAATGAAAGGATACAAAATGAAATGGACACGTAGTAGGAAGTAAATAACAGAAGGCTGGACCTGTGGAACTTTCTTCTACAAGAAGCTTGAAGGTTTTAATCATTGTAAACCACCCAGAGTAGTGGCTTGCCACTAGATGGGCAGCATGCGAATTAAGTAAGTAAGTAAGTAAGTAAGTAAGTAAGTAAGTAAGTAAGTAAGTAAGTAAGTAAGTAAGTAAGTAAGTAAGTAAGTAAGTAAGTAAGTAAGTAAGTAAGTAAGTAAGTAAGTAAGTAGCAGAGACCGGGCTGTGAGTAAAAAGATGCTACAGTGAAAGAGTAAAATAACAGCATGTTATTATATAGGATCTTTTGGGCGTCTGTTCCAGTTACTTACCATACATGCTCCAAATATGGTTTGGGGATGAAGACATCAGCTGGGCTATGTAATCAGTATCCCTATATTATGTTGGGATGGGCAACCAGTGGTCCTGTAGTTGCTGTTAGACTACAGTTCCCATCAGTATGGCCTCTGAGACCAGATGGTGAGAGCTGAGGTTCAGCAGCATCTTGAAGGTGACATGTTTCTTATGTTTTACATACTCCAAGCTTCCAGATCTCACCTCCAGATCTCACTGTTGGATGTAAGATGGTAGGCTGTGTCGTCTCTCCAAAGACAACAATGATTAAAGAGGCTGATGGTTGCTGTAATATACTTGGGGATGAAGACCGGCTTTACAATTAACACTTTCTGCTCTTTTTAAAAGGAAATCCCTCAGACACAGCACGCTGGAAAGCCACAAGGGAACAGGAATGGCTTTGGAAATGAACCAGGTGCCATGGGTAAATCTAATTGGATTTTCATATGCTAGTGTTGAGGCTTGCTCTGTGAAAACTATAACTGGTGGACCTTTCATATTTTGCATGCTAGAAAATGAGAGCCCCTCTCTTCAGTTCAGGAAGGAGAATCAGCAAAGCCAAGATGGTCTGTGCAGAAATAACCACCTTCAGCAGAGTGAGGAGGAAAGGGGGCTTTCCATCCTGACCCAGACAAAAAGGTCAAAACCGAAAAATGGTGCTGACTTCGCCAAAGGTATGAAGTTATGTGTTCCTTACTTTTTGTACAAAGAGCCTGTTCTCATGATCTGTTGTAGTGAATATTACCCTCAGAGCCTGTTCCAAAATGTGGGACAGTTGGGCCGGTGTGAGGCCTCTAGCCCAGCAAGAGGCCCATTGCTACCATGAATAATTAAGAAGGTCAGGTGCAACCTAAAAACTATTATCAGGTTTTGTATTTGAAACTGTGTCTCTGAGGTTAATGCAAAAAAAGTAGGCATTTAATCCATCCATAGAAGTAAAGTTTTAGGTTAGACAATACCTATACAAGTTACAAATAAGGCAAGTTCATCTATGATCTAAATCTCCATTTCGCCTTCCTAGCAGTCTGACTCCATGAGCCATGATCATCCTTTCTAACATTTGCTTTATTTGTAATGTTCTTATTAATGTATGTCATCATGTTGCCTGTGCTGATGAGGACTGATGATTATAGTCCAAAACATATGAATGGGTGAAGTTTGGATGAGGTTGAATTAGATTAGATGTATATCGAATTAGATGTGTGTATATATTGAATTAAACATGTATATGATACAAAGGTTTAACTGGAAAGCCAATGGAAATAGAAACAAGACTATATCCTGGATTGTTGGTAAACCACATGAACTTTAAAATAGGCACAGAGTTGAAAGTAGAGTCGAGTAAGAGAACGGTTGGGAATTCGTCCTTTAAAGAGGAGGAGAAACTTAAGTTGAAATGTCAGAATTATACAATTCCTTCTTGTCCATCCTAGGATCCTGTTTTAAAATTTGCTGTAGCCTTCCCAAACTGGTGCTCTTCAGATGCCTTGGACTTCAAACCTCATTGTCCTCCGTCAGCATTGACAGTGGCAGTACTGGTTGGGGACAATGTGAGTTGTAGTGCAGCACCTCTAGTGAGTGGCAGGTTGGGGAAGGCTCTTCTGCCTTTTATTTCATAGGGTCTTCATCCAGCTTTCCAATATGACTTGTCTGTACATAAAGGATTGAACAGTTTAAAATTTGGCCATTCAAGTCTGGCTAATTCTATTTTAGCAAGAATTCTGAAAATGGAGAAGGTTCTTTGTATGAAGCAGAAGGTCACTAATCGCTTAGAGAGACGTATTTTGTGCCAACGGAGAGAAAGATTATTGTTCTCTCCTTTCAGCTTAATAGTGCTCGTATAGATCTGCAGAGACTAGCACTACAATCATTTTCTCCTTCTCCCCCTCTCTGAGTTTTCAGATCTTGATAGTAATGTGGCACAGTATAATTTTGTTCCCTTTGCTTATGACCTTTCCAGAACAACGTCCTCTACTTCTTTTTCATATTTTCTCTGTGAGCCACAATATTTGTCAAAACTAGGAGGAAAATCCAGGCGAGAAGTCAGTAGATTTGCACTGACTTGTCTCCACCTGGGTTCCCACCCCTCCATCCTCCATGGGTGTCAAACATCTTCTGTAGCCTCATCTTACCAAATTTTACTTGGATGCCACTACTAAGCCTTATAGGGTGGAGAACCTTTTATGGAGGAAGGAGGAAGTATTACATATATGTGTATAATGGGCATGCAACAATTAGGGGTTTTGGAAACATATTCTAGAAGAGTGTGCACTAAACAAGGGCTTCCTAGCACATGTGCACAGAGAGCAATGCAGGCATTTAGTTACATATTATTTAAGAAATACAGTAGTTGTTGATTCACGTCTGGGAAAATACCATCAATCTTGTCATTTTTTAAAAGTGTTGATGTGAAATCATAGAGTACTTACCCTAGGAATGATCCCAAATTAAACAGAGGGTGGGTCCCCCCTCTGCCACTTGCACAAGGAACGGTTCCAAGCTAGCTTCAAGGAAGATTTGCATTTAAGGGCATGAGCGTGTACCCCTAGGAAATTACTTTGATCATAATTTACTTGGTGAAAATTTAAAGAACCTGAGCAGGGGGAAATCAGTCAAAACACAGTTCTTGATGGTTTGTACTCTGAGGAATGGGAGATGTGTGAGACAGATTTTTTTTTAAAAAAAGTGGTTGCTGGAAGCAGCAAAAAAATGCCACTGCTTGCATATGATAAGACACAAATATATCCATATCAACAAAACCTGAATGGTTGACTCCAAGACTTTAAAAAGCTTCCTGTCATCACAAGACTGAGTGTTCAATTTAGTTTTCTACGTTAGGCATTTAGGGAAAGGCAGACACATTGCCTACAGAGCATATAAGTTACTATTATGTCTCTCATTTTTTCAAAGAACTGTAGTTCCAAGAATTCTAGTAGGAAAATCTGTCACGGTTGTTCTTCAATAAGGCTGCAGTCCTGAAATGGTGGGAAGGGGCTAAGGCAGACCCACCTGCCCCACTCAGGCCATAAGCTGCCATGACTGAATATTCTGGGAACTTCCTTCTGTATAAATAAACTGTATATATAGTTAAATTCATGTGTGCATGTCCATGGCATGATTGCTTGTTTTAACTATTTATACGCTGATTTTCAACCATAATGCCCTAAAGGTAATGTACAAAACAAATAATAAAACAATTTCAAAAATAGAAAAAATAGAACAAAACCTCTAAAATACTAAAATCAGGTGTTGATCCCTTACTAGAAAGTTCTGCAGTGCCTTCCTCAGTAATAAAGTCGATTGCCAATATACAGCTGTCAAATGAGAAACCTGTATGTGTGAATTGATTCTCATTCTGTACAATAACTATGCTAGCAGAGAAATGTTACATGTTAGGACATTTCTACATGAAAGGTACTGGGATCTTTCTGAGCATTGAGATTATGTTTAAATAATCTTTCTGCTCACACCCTCAAAATGTTTCTTGAGAATTCTAGCTATCACTTCTCTCTGCTCACACCCTCAAAATGTTTCTTGAGGATTCTCGCTATCACTTCTCATGGAAGGAAGGAAGGAAGATATACTTTTCCTTCATATCACATCAAGGAATCTAAGAACTGACCCAAGCTAAATAACAGAAAAGAGAAGTAAAAATTCCTGTCAGCCTTGGCTCCCGAACAGGAATTAATAAGCTGAAATCTACAGTAAGTCACAAATAAAGTAGACCCATTGAAGCAGTGGCAATTTGGTGAGTCAGCTCCTCTATAAGTGCCACTGATTGAACGGGCCTACTTTAGTGGTGACCTACCATTGGATTTCAGCCATAGTGTCATATCAATGGGCATTTTTTATTATATGTTTTCGAGATATCTTTAAGTTATTCATTTGTGGAAGATAAATGTAATGACCAATATGGATTTGAAATGTACAATGCAAAGTGATTTAGCTGTCACATGAGGAAAACGTCCACTATCGGGAGACGCATGTCAAATGTAGGCTTGATTTGTGATTCTTGCAATGGCCCCTTTCTGCTGTGTGGGCTGCTTGAATGCCAGGTTACATCTGTGCAAAGCAGATGAAAGGAGTTGCTTGACGCACAGGTCTGTCCTTAGATCTGAAACTCATAAATCAGAGATCAAAGGCTGAAAACATCAAGACTAGCTTGGCATGGATGTCTCCACACAGACACCTTTTACTAGATGTGATGTAGAAACAGACCCAGCCCAAGACATTTTGGTACCCGAAATAAAGGACAGGACACTCCTTTCCCATTTCCCTTCTTTATACAAAAGCTAACAGGAGTGACAATTCAATACTACTTCAATGCTGTCAATGGTATCTGAAGATACTGGGAAAGTGAAGGGGGCACAAAGCAGACTGGAACGGTTGGGTGGCTGCCCGTTCTTCCTGAAACATTTTTCTCCTGAAGGCACCAGTGCTCCTCTGACTAACAGATGGGAGCTCCTGCAGAACAAAATCTGGGTGCCCAAGATTTGTTTCTTCCCTGTATTTGGAGGCCCTGTCAAGTCTATAAGAAACGGGACCTGGACAATCAACACCCGAGAGTCCCCAACAAGCCTCTCAATGCCCCCACTACTGTGAATGCCACTGCAGATACTCTGGAGGTTAGTGAAGTCTGCTGCCTGCTATCATTTACCAGCAATTAAAGGGCGAGTGCGCCTTTAGCCAGGTAAATTCCACCCCCAATCACAAGTTTGCCCTGAGGTTGTTTTGCAAAAGGAATGTCACTGTGCTCTCATTAACCCCAAAAGTTAACCTGTTCCAAATAATACCTTTAATTTTACCACAGTTCCGGATGGCAATGGGCTACAGATTTCAGGAGCAGTGGTTATAGGCAGCAAGGAGAAGTACTCCTTACAATAAGCTTGTTTGTTTATTTATTTATTTATTTATTTATTTATTTATTTATTTATTTATTTATTTATTTATTCATTCATTCATTCATTCATTCATTCATTCATTCATTCATTCATTCATTTATTTATTTATTTATTTATTTATTTATTTATTTGTTTATTTGATTTTCACCCCGCCCCTCTAGACAACGTCTACGTCTTACACACATGTGTAAGAGCTGGGAGTGGCTGGATATGAAACTCAGGAAACAAGGAGGTTACAGGGCAAAAATTCTTAGCAACTTCTTACTCAGAAAGACATACTTTGGTGCATATGTGTATGCACAGCACACTTAATTTTAAACGGTGGCCATGCATTTACGGTAAATCATTTTGCTTCACCGTATACATACCCTGTTTCCCTGAAAATATGACCTAATCTGAAAATAAACCCTAGTAGGATTTTTCAGGATGCTCGTAATATAAGCCCTACCCCCAAAATAAGCCCCAGTTAAATGAAACCCCATCCTCCGCCATTGTGCAGCAACCAGAAGAAGATGACATGACTGTATTTGAATAAATGTAGATTGTTGTACATGAAAAAAATAAAACATCCCCTGAAAATAAGCGCTAGTGCGTTTTTGGAGCAAACATTAATATAAAACTATGTCTTATTTTCGGGAAAACATGGTAGAACAGGTTGATTTGCAATTAAAACTTTGCCTTTTATTGTGGAGAAGAGCAGCTGTCCAAAAATTCACAACAGATGCATGCTACATGCAAATTCAGTAATAAAACAGGTCTGATCCATATCTCATACACTAACATGCAGCTCAGGACTAAATTATCCACCAGCTGTCAAGCTGGAAAGTTTAGATCCCATTTCCAACTCAAAAACATGCTCAGAACACATTGAAACCCAACATATTATTTTTTAAGAAAATCACACATTTTTTTAAGAATGCAGAAATAGAACAAGATGGGATGGATTTGGAGATGAACACACTTGAAAGTAATACAGATCAAAAAAACAGACTAATTCACTCATCCCTAATTCGTATTCATTTATCTGTACTTAAGTACCATTTGTAAAAATGGGGTTGGCTTTGAGAATCCTGGAATAAAGCAAAAAGAGTCGTTCACTGGAATGTCACAGTAAAGTGTCAGGTACAG